AGAGAGAGAGAGAAGGTAGAGAGAAGAGAGAGAGAGAGAGAGAGAGAGAGGTAGTGATGTGCAGGAGGAGAGAAAGAGAGAAAACAGCAGACACTTATTGGGGTTAAAACATTTAAAATCCAGTATTAACTTCCAGCCCATGCTTGCAAGGAAAGGTCACACATTAGATCAACAAACAAACCAATGTAAAGCAACAGATACTGCTTCCTCCACTCAGCACAACGATGTGAAGAGAACTGACAATTTCAATTTTTCTATTCTGGAGACATTTGTCAGCAGCAAAAACTATTTGTTTGTTTGTTCACAGCCATAGCTCTCAGTGGGGGTTCAAGCAGGAGTCAAATCTGCTGTTTGTCATCTTAAATCTATTAAACCCACTATATTCTACTATGTTTTCATCATTCCTCCCACTGTTCTTCTCCTACAGTACAGACTCTGTTTTTCATTACTGTAGAAAACCATATCAAAACAGTCTTCAAATACAAGAGAACTCGAGACAACACCTGAGACATATTAAGTGAAAATTCACCTGTGCCACATTTGTATCACCTTCCCTCTTGATACGAAGCTGAGCCTCAAGGGGATAAATAGAAAGAACACAGTGAGGGTTCTTGTCTTTGTTTCTTTCTTTACTTTTTCGCTCTTTGGTCACTCACATGTGTATTTTCCTCTCGTCTATTCATCATTCCCTACATTCTCTACTTGCTACCTCATCAGCACACGCTTAACACAAAAGATTTGTTGTCTGTGTTCACTGATGTGACAGTGCTGTCATTGCTTCAACTGTCCCGTCATGCTCAATAAAGTTAAAATATTTTTGTCGACAGAAAAGTGTTGCAAGTTGTTTACATCCTAAGCAATAATGGAGTTAAGGTCTTGTGTACAATTTGTTCAAGAACAGAAGATAGATCCTCTGTTCCAGCTAATTAAATTTGATTTTGTACTTTTGCAAAACAGTTGCAGGGGTCAAAGCGAGATTTATAAATGCAAGTATCTGCTTCTTTTAGTCAGCAAGTTTCTGACTGAACACAGCTAATTAAGGCGAACTGAAGCTATAAATGGGCAGCACAGGGAAAAGGACACAAGCAAATGAATTGTTATGGGAGAAGAAGTCAGACTGCGTTTAGTAAAACAAACAAGGAAAAACATTTTGTACGTTACTAATCGTGTACCATATTAATCCTGAAGTATCAGCACGAGTTGTCCTGTAATTGAACTGTGAGAAGAAAGGGTTCGACTAACAGCAACAACCATATCTTCAGGCTATTTTCACACCGGTGGATACTAGGTGGTTTTATGAAAAGATGAAGAAGAGGCTGCAAAGGATGTTAGTGACTCACTCTGCTGTCTGCGCTGGGGCATGCTGGTACGGGTCAAGCCCTGGTGCTGTGCCTGCCACGGGGACAGCAAGGGGGGGGGCAGCACACCCTACGCAGAGAAAAACACAAAGGACAAGAGGCATAACGTACCAGAACACACACACACACACACACACACACACACACACACACACACACACACACACACACACACACACACACACTTAGAGAACACACTCTCACAGGACAGACTAAACACAGACATGCACACTTGGTCTATCATGGTGTAGAAGAGACTCATACACCGTGTCAGGGTTAAATCAATGCTATAATATAGACTTTCTGTTCTGTAAATAAAAAACTCATAGTATTAGTGTTAAAAACGGTTAGTGTTAACATCAAGTCTCCCTAATGCATTCTCCCTTAGGTAGCTTTTTTGTTGAAAAAATACACTCACTGTCTGACGGTGTGAT